CACATGAGAGATGAGTATCAGTTTCCGAGAGACGACGATTGGATAGATTCCAGTTCACAGAGTGCGTGAGAGTTCTGGCGTTTGACGTGACTTCATTGCGAGCGAACGAATTTCATAGAGCTAAGCCTTCTCTACCCTTTTACTGGTTCTTTTCATACGTTATCTTCGATTCTATTCTTTCGGGCGAGAATTTACACCGTGGACGGTGTATGGTTCAAGTCTGGGGGGTGGATAGATCCTTCACACATTCAGGCCTATCTACTTAGCATTTCATTTAGTTTAGGTGCATTTTATCATGGTATATAGACTTAGGAAAAAAATTTCACTTCTGCATATCACTTTGCATTAGTTGCATTCACACATTTTCTTTATTTTTCATATAGATGGGTTTTGATTAGGTTTGCATGATTGCATTTGACATATAGATTAGGTTCATATAGGTTCACGTGCATACCTCGAAAACCCGTTTTGAGCATCATTTGGAAGATTTGTGGGATGATAGAGTAGGAATATCTTGATGATCTAGTGACTTTGAGAACGTGGTTGAACCGTGTCGAATTGATAGTTCTCCAGACTTTTCATATATAGTTTGTGGGATGGTGTTGTTATTTGGAACCTACGGAATTGAAATGACTATATCCAGGTTATAAGTTTCATTTAGAACCTTTTTTCGAGTCTTGCAGGTCAATGAAATCTAGTTCAATGAATATCGTGGGAAAATAAAGCATCTCGACACTCCGCTGTCAGAATCTCGTCAACGAAAATCGTTCGAGGACATGAGTGCATCGATCGATGGTTCGGGTCTAAGTTGTGGGTCGGACATCGCATTGAAAGAAAAAAAAAAGAGAGAGAAAAAACGATGTCCTTCAACTTCGACGTCCTAGAAACCCGAGATACTAGTGTTTGATAGAAAAATTCTACAAAAAGGTACAAATCCAGGTATGAGGAAGAACTAAGGTCGAAGAGGCTAAATGGAGATAAGGATGGGTTCGAAAATATGCTTGGTGAGTTGTGGAGATTCTAATGGGTTCTAGGTGGCAATAAAAGTCCCATGACTAGGTAGATTAGTCTTTGGTAGAAAGATCATAGTACACCGGTTTGGGTACGATTCTCGGGAAACTAGCATTGGATGGATGTTTTGATTTTGAGTTTCATGATGATGCTATTTGATGTTCGTCATTCCCCGTTTTGCAGATTTTATTCCTTCGTTCTTTACTCGAGGACGAGCAAAGGTTTAAGTCTGGAGGGATTTGATAACTCTTATTTTTCTCTATATTTCCAGGACGTTTTTATAGGATTTATACGAGGATCACATACATTTATAGGTATTATAGGCGTGTTAGGCTACGAAGCTCGGTTTGGTTGTGTTTTTATAGGATTACAGGACTCGGATGCGATTTGGAGCAACGGGAGCAATATGGAGCTAAAAGGATGAAAGAGTCAAGAATTTCCCGCCTTGACTCGGCCAAAGTCAACCACGGAAATTGGGTCGAGTCAACATACTGAAAATGGCTTAATTCAAGCCTGTTACGAAGAGACCGAGTCAAAACGTCCGAGTCAGAACACTCCGAGTCAACATGCCCGAGTCAAAAGGCCCGAGTCAGAAGATTGGGCTGGGCCGAATTCTGAAGAGCCCCGTTTTGACTCGGTCCGAGTCACAACCCAGAAAAAGCCCATATTCGAATTTTCAGAGTTTGAACGGGAGTAGAACTTCGGGAGCGCCGCCTAGGGTTTATAAAAAGTGCCTACAGATGTCCTAGAGTGCAGACAGACTTTAGACAGACTTTACACAGAATTTGGAGAGCTTTGGTGAGAAAAATAAGAGTTTCGGGATTTCGGAAAGAAGAAGGAGAGTTGGAACGTGAAGATCGCTTGCTGTCGACATGAGCCTTTCTTCTCCCTCTTTTATTTATGTTTTCGGTTTTACTCTTTGTTTTTCTATGAACCGTGAGTAGATCCACGGCTATGGGTTAGGGATTCGTTTGTGTTTTGGGTATGTTTGAACCCTAACTTGGTTGCGATTTGGATTTGTTTCGGTTTTATTGATTTGTGCTTTATTCGATTGGTGTTTGCTGACCCCTTGGCCAATTATTTCAGATTCTGAACTACATAGGAATATGGGTTTAGTTTCGGATCAAAATCGATAGAATAAATCGTATTATTCACATAGGAATATGGTTTGATCGATGAAGGGTTGATGATAGCGTTCTTCATGCATCTAGTTTGATAAATCACATAGGGATATGGATTTAGAAAACTTTAGATAGTGAGTTATATGCCGGGAGGTGATTTCTCTATCTTTGTTGCTTGACGATTCCCGAATACAGATTCAATATCGTGATTCTCGCATGCTTAGCATATATCCATACACGCGAATACGGTCCTGATGAGGACATCACCAAGGATGCGGAGCTTGGATCAGACCCGGACACGGAGCTTGGAGACGCGGAGCTAGGAGATGCGGAGCTAGGAGATGCGGAGCTCGGAAAGGAGCTGGGAACGGAGCATTGCAAGCAAGCACGGGAGACAAGTACCTTGGCATCATCCATATCCCGCGTCGGATGGAGCCGCCTCTCACGCGATCAAAGACTCGAGCAATGCGTCAACAATTCAACGCATTTGTGTCTCAAGTCTTGAGCGAGCCGAAGATCGGGGTTGAGCATGCATTCACGGACGAGATCCTGAGAGTTCTAACCATCCTTATGTGCCAAGAGGGATAACCTAAGCTCTAAGACAACAAAAGGAAGCTTCTTGCTAAACAAGTCACTAAACCAACAGCTCTTTTCTCCATTAATAGTAGAGATTCTCTATGCCATGCATGTGTCTCGTTTTACGTTTTTAGTTGTTGAGACTTTTACTTATTTAAGCTTTCCCTTTCCTTTGTAATTTTCAGACTTGTTTTGAATCTAAGAAATCAGAATTTCTTCTCCTCTACTTTGAGTGTCGAGCATACTTGGTCCGTCCAAGCCCCGGTTTGTCCGATTACTTCGGTTGGTCCGAAGTACGCCGGTTCGTCTGACGTTCTGCCTTGGTCTGTCCGAGGCTGGTCTTTTGGTTCGTTCAAAGCCTTCTATCCTTCGCCCTTTCACCATTTCCATCTGTTCGGATCAAGTTCGAGTGCCCCTATGGATGAGTGATTGACCCCGACACCGACGCCCCGTTCGATCCCTTCATATCCGAGTATCGATTGAGTTCGAGTGCCTCTCAAGGCCAGTGATCAATCGACCCTCAACATCCTTCCATCCAAGCACCTAACCAAGGCTCCAATGGGCATATATCATTTTGGTATCAGAGTTGTTCGCTCCAACGGACGTTTGAAATCCCGGGTGAGATCGTTCCTTTTTCCCGATTCCATTTTTGTTTCGATTCCATTTGATTTTCTATCAATCATCGGAAACAAATTTGAGGGAATTCGATTTGCATCCATTTGTATTCGTTAAGGGCTGATTGCAGCGAATTTTGGCAGGACCCCCCCCCCCCCCCCGTGAACACACGAGCACCAGCAGCAACCTCCACAAATCACGACATTGGAAGCTCTCAGTGAGATCCTTCCTTGTCTATCATTTTCATTCCTTTTCAGTTCTGTTTGGTGTGAGATCATTGTTGTTTGCTTACTTTCCTTGATCGAAATCTGATTAGAAACTTTCGGAATAATCTTTATTTGAGTGCCGAACTTTTCGTTGAAGATACATTCTCGTCTACTTGAATCTTCTCTCACGTTCGTGATTGTTCGCCTCTTAGCTTCGAGCCTAGTTGTGTATGAAGTTTGATTGGGTATCATTGCTCAGCTGTTTGCCTTGATCATAGCCCTGTCTTAGCACGTATTGCCTTGATAGTTATTGAGCATTCGTTTGTTGCACGTTAGCTATATACCCGACATTGTTGCGTGATTGTTTGATAATTGTGTGGAAAATTGCTCTTAACTTGAGAATAAAACAGCACGTATTCTACTTTGTACGTTTGTAGAACTCGTAAGATAAGTGATTCTTGCATTTGAAGTGTTGTTTGCGTGTTTGAGCGAGTTTGTGCGAAATGAGTACCCACGAAGCCTCCAATGAGGGAGCTAATGTTGAGTCGAGTGAGGGCGCTATATTTAGGTCCCTCCAACAGATCATGGATTGGTTGGCACGACTAGAAGAGAATAGACCTCCTGCACCTCCCGAACTTCGCCCTAGAGAACCGCTAGCTCGTCCTAGACGAACCCAAGACCCTAATCCGGAATCCCTTAGTGACGACGAGAGTGATGTAGGACCACGACATAGACCAAGAGAGAGGGTTGTCGAGGAGATAACCGATCGTGAGGATTACCATAGACGTAGAGCCTCTAGACCGAGAGAGAGGGTAGTAGAAGAAATCGTTGAACAGAGATACCCTCCTAGACGTAGAGGCCATAGGCCCCGGGCTCGAGTTTCCGACGAGGAGTCGGAATACAACGATCCACCGCTTAGACCCCTTAGACCAAGAGATAGGATACGTGAGGATGGGTCTGATGCTAGTGAAACACCAGGACATAGGGAATACCCTCGTCCTAGAGCAAGACCACCTAGGTGGGCCGACGTTGTCGAAGAAGAAGGAGAGCGTGAACACCGACAACATGGGAGACAAGGGGCTGATCTTAAGCTTAAGCCACCTTTGTTCATAGGAAGGGTAGATCCTGAGGCCTACTTAGATTGGGAGCGTCGCATGGATAACATTTTCGAATGTTACTCATATTCGGACCGTAAGAAAGTCCAATATGCGGCTGCTCAACTAGCCGAGAGCGCCATAGCATGGTGGGATCGTGAGGTAAACGAGAGACGACGTGGTCACATAGAGCCGGTCGGAACATGGAGAGAAATGAAGGTATTGATGCGTAAATAGTACGTACCTCCTCATTTCCACCGAGAGCTCCAAGTAAGTATCGGAGAATTTCACAAGGTGCTAGGACGGTGGAAGAATTCTTTGAAGAATTAGAGCACCTTAGGAGTCGGTTGGAATTAGATGAGGACGAGGAGGCGGTGATGGCCCAATTTCTCGACGGACTTAACGAGCGTATTGCCCCAAAGGTCGAGCGCCATCCGTACCGCAATCTCCATGAGCTTCTGCACCTAGCCGTGCAAATCGAAAAGCAAAACCAAAGGAAACAAACCAGGCTGAGTAAGCTCAAAACTCCTCCTACTCTTTCCTCGCCAATACCTAAACCCTCGGTCATGCCCCGAAAGGAACTCCCCGAGAACCGTGGTAACCGTGATTATCGGGAAAAAGGAAAATCCCCTGAAACATCGCAAACTAAGCCCACCCATGATTCTCCTCGTGGCGCTAGAACTAGAGAGATTATGTGTTATAAGTGTCGAGGTAGAGGACATATGGCTCGTGATTGTCCAAACTCCCGAGTAGTGATTATCACCGATAAGGGAGAGTACGAGTCTTTAGACGAGGAGGAGGCGGGTGATCTCGAGGAAGAGATTGAGTATCCCGATAGCGGAGAGCTCTTGGTTACCCGACGAGTTCTTAGCGCTATGACCAACCCGGACGAGACCTCACAGCGAGAAACGATATTTCATACTCGGTGCACCGTCCAAGGGAAAGTTTGCGGGTTGATAATCGATAGCGGGTCGTGCACCAACGTGGCTAGTGCCTACGTGGTGAAAAAGTTAAGACTTGAGTCCGAAAAGCACCCGCACCCCTATAAGCTACAATGGTTGAATAACCAAGGGGAAATAAGAGTGAGCGAGAGAGTGAAAATTCCCTTTAGCATTGGACGTTACCACGATGAGGTCGTGTGTGATGTCGTTCCCATGCAAGCGGAACACATGATGTTGGGTCGGCCTTGGCAATTCGACCGAGAAGTCATGCATGATGGACGAGCCAATCAATACTCTCTTATACACAACAAAAAGAAGGTTGTGTTAGCCCTCTCACTCCATCTCAAGTCCACGAGATACAGTTGCAACTTGCGAAAGAAACCGAGCCCAAGAAAGGCAACTATTACCTTCGGTCGAGTCAAGTCGAAAAGGCCCTTCGCCTTCATCCTTCGATTCTTTTGATGATCTTTAAAGACCAGATCACTCTCCGGACTGATTTCTCTCACGAGAGTCCAGCCATATCACGGCTTCTTGATCAGTTCCGAGATGTGTTTCCCGAGGATATCCCGGCTGGCCTTCCTCCGATTCACGGTATTGAGCACCAAATCGATCTAGTGCCTGGTGCATCACTACCAAACCGCCCCGCCTATCGTATGAACCCCGAGAAAACGAAAGAGCTCGAGAAGCAGATTCGAGAGCTTCTGGGCAAAGGGTATATTAGGGAGAGTCTGAGTCCCTGCGCGGTTCCGGTGCTTCTAGTACCGAAGAAAAATGGGACTTGGCGGATGTGCGTCGATTATCGTGCGATAAACAACATCACTGTCAAATATCGCCATCCAATTCTCCGCCTTGATGATATGCTTGATGAGCTTAGCGGAGCCACGATTTTCTCCAAGATCGATTTAAAAAGTGGTTATCATCAAGTTCTAATGAAAGAAGGCGATGAATGGAAAACCGCTTTCAAAACCAAACAAGGACTCTATGAGTGGCTTGTGATGCCTTTCGGGCTCACTAAAGCCCCGAGTACCTTCATGAGGTTTATGAATCACATCTTGAGAGCCTTCATCGGCAAGTTTGTGGTCGTGTACTTTGACGATATTCTCGTCTATAGTCGCACCGAGGAAGACCTCGCGATTCATCTTGAGCAAGTCTTGACCGCACTTAGGAAGGAAAGCCTATACGCTAATTTAAAGAAATGCTCGTTCTACACTAACGAGATCGTCTTTCTAGGCTTTGTGGTCAGCTCGAGTGGGCTGCGAGTCGATGAGGAGAAGATCAAAGCCATCACGGAATGGCCGACCCCTACCACTATTGGACAAGTGCGTAGTTTTCATGGCTTGGCTAGCTTTTATCGCCGTTTTGTGCAGGATTTTAGTAGCATAGCCGCTTCCCTTACCGCGGAAATTAAAAAGGACGTACCATTTGAATGGGGAAACGCACAAGAGCAAGCCTTTGCTGCCCTCAAAGACAGCCTTACACATGCTCCCGTCTTAGTTCTTCCGAACTTTGACAAAACTTTCGAGGTCGAGTGCGATGCATCCGGGATTGGCATAGGAGCTGTCCTAAGCAAGAAAAGAAGCCCGTAGCATTCTTTAGTGAAAAACTAAACGGGGCTGCACTCAATTATCCGACCTACGATAAGGAGCTATATGCACTTGTGCGAGCTTTAGAGACTTGGGAGCATTACTTGTTGCCAAGGAATTCGTAGTGCATTCGAATCATGAAACACTAAAGCATCTTAAGGGCCAAACCACTCTCAAGCGTCGGCACGCTAAGTGGTTAGAATTCATCGAGACATTCCCGTACATCATCAAGTACAAGAAAGGAAAAGAGAATGTCGTGGCCGATGCATTGTCTCACCGACACACTTTGATCTCGGTTATGGAGGCGAGATTGTTCGGCTTTGAGCATGTCAAAGCACAGTATAAGGGCGACCGTGACTTCGGTACCATCGTGGAGGAATGTCGAAAAGGAGACCACGGGCCATATTACTTGCATGATGGATACCTATTCCGTGATAGACGATTGTGTGTCCCTCAAGGATCATTACGAGATGTCATACTCCGAGAAGCTCATGGAGAAGCTCTAGCTGGTTACTTCGGGGTAGATAAGACTTTGGCTGTAGTACAAGAGCATTTCTTTTGGCCACATCTCAAGAGGGACGTCCGGAGGTTTTGCGCTAAGTGCATAGAATGCCATTAGGCTAAGTCTAAGGTGCAACCTCATGGATTGTACATGCCATTACCGATCCCCACGCAACCTTGGGTCGATATTTCCATGGACTTTGTCCTTGGACTCCCCAAGATTCAACACAAGGACTCTATCTTTGTTGTCGTGGACTGGTTCTCTAAGATGGCTCACTTTGTGTCGTGTGCTAAGACGGACGATGCTAGACATATCGCTAATTTGTTGTTTCGAGAGATAGTCCATCTTCATGGCATACCAAGGACGATAGTGTCGGACCGAGACTCCAAGTTTCTCAGCCACTTCTGACGGACACTATGGAAGAAGATCGGCACAAAGCTCGTCTTTTCGACGACTTGTAATCCGCAAACGAACGGACAAACTGAGGTAGTTAATCGTACGTTGTCTACTCTTTTACGAGCTACCATTGGAAAGACCCTAGGGAATTGGGTTGAGTGCATCCTGTTGATTTAGTGCTCTATAATGTACTGCTTGCGAGCTTTCTTTGGATACATTTGATGTATTGATACTTTCTATAGTTTTATGAAAGTGTTTGATTCATTACATATTGTGCATACTAGATATGTTGTGAAATTCATGTATTGTTATGAACAATACTAAACTCCCTAGTCATGTATCATTGTGGGAATAATGATATACTAAGACTAGTATGATGTGTGATTGATGATCATATAGATGATCATAGGTATTGGATACGATCACAGTCATAGGTATTCGTTGGAGAACGGAATACTGGATTGGCCCGCATGAGATTGTCACATTGACTAGCGTCATGACTTGAATCTCATATGGCGGTTCCATGATTGGATCCTAAGACCTAAGATATCTACGGAATCCAACATGAGGAGTTGTGTGCTTTGAATACGTCAAACGTCCTGCGTAACAGGAGGACTATAAAGGCGTGTATCAGGTACGAAACGAATCATGTGCTGGATTGTAGATAGTTAAGACGGGATTTGTACCTCTCGTAAAAGAGAGAGATATCGCTGGGCCCCTCGTGTGAGCGAGACAGTAGAAATGTGTGGCCGCACTATTGACGAACGTTGTCTATTTCAGACAGTCGAACTCAGTGAACGAGAAAGCAGTCGAATCAGATAAGGTGGCTTGTCCATGCCTTATGTTCGACATATGATATCGCGATACAAAAGGATCATCAGCCGGAATCATCACTGGCGTTCGTAAGATCACGAACAAACTCTATTTGAGATAGGTAGTCATAGTGTCTTGCTAGAGACCGCCTATGACTTGTATATCCGAAATAGAGATTTCAAGTTATACTGCTATATCGAATGAGCCTACAGGGTCACACACGCAGGGAAGGACAAAACGCACGAGAAAACGACGGAAAAACCGAGATAGAAGGGTCTGGAACGGACGGACCAGAAAGTCTAGAACGGACGGTCCGCCAGATCCAGACCCGACGGTCCTGAAGCGTGGTCGGTCCGTTCTGGAGACTAGAACGGACGGTCCACGTTAAGGCAGACCGTCCGTTCTACATGCTGGAACGGACGGTCCATGGGCTTTTCTGAGTTGTGGATACGTGTAGAGGGCGTGGTATTCTTCCTCCCTTTCGTGATCGGACGAATTCTTCAATTAATACAGGCCCCGGATCGATTGAGGTAAGCGTTCTAACGTTTCTACGATTCATAGAAACATGGTTCTAGGGTTTATTAAATTTTTATTTTACATCCGCTGCGCAAACCCTAGAATCGATCTCTTAGGAATATGATTGGCTCTAGAGATCCCAGGAAACCCATCAGTGGTATGAAAGCCTGGTTGCTCTGTTTTGATTTCGTAGAACCCGATCACGCACGTTTTAGTATTTGAATTGTTTGAATCCATGTTTGCTTTGATTTCTATGCATGTTTGATGATTGAATCTAGTGTAGATTGCATGTTTCATGTTGCATAGAGTGCAGGAGTTCGAATTTTGGGTGTACAGAAGAATTCGGATCAGCTTCGGGTCTGATCGGGGCCGAGTGTTGGAATTCCTGGGATCTCTAAAGCGAATCTTATTCCTAAGAGATCGATTCTAGGATTTGCGCAGCGGATATAAAACAAAAATTTGATGAACCCTAGAACCATGCTATTAATGAATCGTAGAAACGTTAGAACGCTTACCTCAATCGATACGGACGGTCCAGAAATGCATGTGGACCGTCCGTTCCAGCACGTAGAACGGACATTCTGGCATTAGTGGTGTTGGTTTGGTGCTCTATGATGTACTGTTTATGAGCTATGATTATGATACATTTGATGTATTGACACTTTCTATAGTTTTATGGATTAGTGTT